GTTAAAAAAACAAAACCACAACAAAAATACCACAATTTACGCACACACAGATCTACTGTACGGTTGTGGGGCTTTTTTGGTGGTGGGCTGGTGTAGGGATTGAAACTGGACCTTGGTGTTATCAGCACCAAGCGGTAAACCAACTGTGAACCCTTGTTCTGTTGTTTTAAGAAAGAAAACTATGGACAAAAATGATACAGCCAGCAGGTCAAAAAACTTTAAGACACATACCTGGCACAGTAGCTTTTAGTTAAAATGGAAAGCCTGTGCTAGCCAGAAAGGCAAGTTTAAAATGCCACAATAGACTGAATGTAATACCTAGGGAATAATAATTGATTTAACTAAAGCAAAGGAAAAATTTAGTCAGGATCAAAACAAAATGCCTCAACAAAAAGAAAAGGGTTAATGGAAGATGTTTTAGTTTATAAGATGACTCATTATCAAAGACTGTTTAAAGTCAATATGGAATTACCTAAGATTGAAATTTAGTATCAAATGTGCTAAATTTCCCTGCCCTGCAGATAGCCCACTGGTATTATTTAGCCAAAAAAACTCAACAAAAAGATTACTTACGTGTGAACTCCATCTGATTTTCTTTGTTCAAAAACTAAGGTTTTGCCTTCTGGAGAGGCAAGATGGAAATCAATATCTAATCCTGCTCCATCTAAAACCTGTAGAAGAGCACATGAGAAAAACATATAAATTCAAAAAATAAAAAAAATATAAAGTAGATCGAATGATGTAAAGATTTGCTTTCTAAACCTAGAGGGGTAAGAAAGCCAACAGTTATGTTAGGGCTAGAAAGACGCTAAAAGGTCATCTAGTTCAATTCCATTTATTTTTGGAACTTGTCCCTTTCTTACCCATTCCTGTTGCCATCACCTAAATTAAGGCCTTACGGATATTATGCAGTACATCTTCCTAAAACAGTGCCTTCATTGAGAAGCCCTATATAGAGCAAACAGAAACATAGAGGGCAGTTCAAATGCTGGGCTTTTTACTTAAAACTTAGGTAATTCACGACATTTCTATATAATTTTTTTGAGTTTGTTTTCTCTTCAATACAATAATAATAATTAGTACTTAGCCTGGAATTCAAGACCTTCATGCTCAGACTCCAACTGACTTCTTCAACATATTGTTCTACTGCTTCCCAGTATGAACTGTATATTCCAAGCAGGCCAGTTCACTTACTGGCCAGTGAACACAATCTATTCCACTACAATCCCAAAATGTCCTTATAAAGAAGATGATGATGATGATCACAACAGTGGCTAACAATTATAGTTTATGCCAGTCATTAAGTGCTTTATGTGGATTAATTAAATTTATTCCAGACAACATTATTTTCATTTTTGTAACAAAACAAAACTTGAGGCACAGAGAAGTCATTTTTCAAAGGTGACACAGCAAATAAGTGGCATGGTCAAAACTTGAAATGAATGCTCTGGAGTTATTTTAATAAGCATGCTATGTTGCCTCTAGTGTTATTCCATTCTCCTGAATAGTTCCTCATCCAATTGTACCCATTGTTCAAGAGCCAGCCTAAGTCCTCTGAAATGTTCTCTGACTCCTCCTGCCGACTTCTCTTATACTTTCGTTTACATTCCTATAGAATGCACGCCGATTCTGTTTCATACTTAATCATACATTATCTTGAACCCAAGCATCTTTTTTTAGTATTAGTACAAACTTGTAAGGTACCTATTTATGGACATCTATGTGGCACATCCAACACAGATGATATAAGGGTTGAAAATTTTATACATTGCTCACTATTTTTATAACTCTAAGGGACTCGGTCCTAACAATGGTATTATCAATTATGGGGGGGGAGACCACATGCGGATATTTAATAAATACATCTTTTTGCCATACTATGTGTATTAGTCCGTTTCTGTTGCTTATAACAAAATACACGGAACTGGGTAATTTGTAAGAAAATGAAATTTATTGCTTACAGTTTTAGAGGCTAGGAAGTTCAAAGTCCAGGGAACACACCTGGGTCTTGGTGATGGCGACAGTGACAAAGGGGTCTCACAAGGCAGGAAATAGTGGAGCAGGGACAGAGAGAGACTAATCTCCTCATTCACTCTTTTTAAAGC